ATATATATTACTATTATGTCCCAATTAACGACACTAATTCCTAAGTTAGTTAATGCATGTAAACATTCATTAGATGTGTCCAATAATTCTTTTAACGCATGGGCAGATTCAGTTACAATATTCTTTTGGCTCATAAATCGTTTAAAAATACAATTTGCTAAATATTTTGTGTTATCATATCTGCCTTCTAACTGTGACCAGCAAGTTGAGTAATTACTACTAGTAATAGGAATGTGACGTAAAAGACTTTCAGCTTCCCCAGACAAATGAGTCTTTAAATAATGTAGTTTTTGTACATCATCCAATTTGCTATTGCTATGTATTAAGGACACAAACAAATCTCTAAAACTTATCCACTCGGAATAGTTACCAGAAAAAACTGGCAAAGAAATTTTTGGTAATTTAATATCACATGATTTATCTGAAGCCTTAGTGGTACTCTGCAATGTTGGCATTTGTTGATTTAATTTAGTAGACATTTCCTTAAGTTCTATTTTGTAATCGAAATATACTTCTTCAGTAGTCTGATATAGGTTCGTAGAATAATACTTAGATGCGAAATATGCGGTTTCCTCAACCTCTTGCAGGATCTTATAATGTGAATCATTAAATAATTTCCATTGCTTTTCTAAACTCTCCAACCTTACTTCGACGTAATTTTGTGTAATTCGCTCCTTTGGAGATTTTTTAAAGTTAGAACGTGCTCGGGCAATAGCCGCACTTGTGTCCAATTGAATTCTTTCGAATGCTTGCATTTTGTACAAACCACTAGTAGTAGCACTTCGAATCACTAAGTTTTATTGCACTAAGTCAGTGTAGGTAGATATAAATTCTTTAAAAAATTACAAGTCTTTTCTGGTGAAATTCGAACTAAAATCGGGCATAGGTTCCCCGTCTCTTCACTTTTTAAGAAACTATTCTAAGTCCAAGCTAACACTTAATATTAAATAGTCAATCTTGAATAAATTTAATTCCACTACTATTAAATAATTAAAAGTACTCACAATTTATCTTCAATCACTTCATATACACTGTCCACTCACGTATTACGTAGCTCGCCGTAGGGCCAGAGGGGTCGACCTTCCCCTCACACTGCAAACACTGCTTACTCCAACTGCGACACGGCTCACGCGCAATGTATGCGCGCTGATGCTTGCGCTGCTCCACTCTTCACCTTTGATGCGCTGCCGCAAAACTAGCTCCACGAGGACAATGTATGCCAGTCCTTTATCGGCTCAAGAAGGACCAAATGTACACTTCCCAAAAGTATCACGAAATAAAACACCACACTCAGAACAGAGACACATTTTATTAATTTTTCTAACCTTAAGAACACCCGTTCGTATATCTTAATAGCGCGATTCAGAAAACAAGATCAACGCCATCTATCGACAAGTTGTAGAACTAACTTACTCAAAATGTGTAATTAAACCAACATGTATTAGACAGGGAGTAATAGACTTTTATTAACAGGTTCATATAACATCTGTGTATAAAGTCCATTATCATCATCATGAACAGCCTTAAATAGTCCACTGCTGGATATAGGCCTCTCCTTAAAAAGAAGGTGTTTGGCCTACTATACCACGGTGGCCAGACGGGTTGGTATAGGGTTTGTTTCCGAGGATGTGCGCGAGTGGCGCGAAGCCGCTCGCCGAGCCACGATGGCTCGTTGGTCGTTCCGGCTGGAGACTCCACGCGCTGGCTTCGCCGCCGTGGAGGCTCTCCAGCCGGTCATCGCCGAGTGGGCAGGGCGGCAGCACGGGACCCTTTCCTTCCGGCTGACGCAGGTGCTTTCCGGGCACGGTTGCTTCGGAAAGTACCTGCACACGGTCGCTAGGAGGGAACCGAGTCCCGCCTGCCACCACTGCGACTGCAGTGAGGACTCGGCCCAGCACACGCTGGCGGTCTGCCCCGCATGGGCGGCGCAGCGCCGGGCCCTCACTGCAGTCATCGGAGTGGATCTCTCGCTACCGGCCGTAGTACGCTCCATGGCCGGTAGCGACAGTTGTTTTACCGCGGTCGCAACCTTCTGCGAGGTAGTAATCTCGCGGAAGGAGGCGGCGGAGAGGGCCCGGGAGGACGACCTCCACTCGGACCCGATCCGCCGCCGGCGAACCGGGCGGCGGAGGCCCGCCTACCACAGCCTCATGCCGCCCTGAGTGTGGCCGCGGGTGGACGGGGTGGGTTTCCCCTCCACCCGTATTAGTTTGGCCAGCCGCGAGGGGGCGGCGTCCGCGTGTGCCGGACGTCGCCTAAAGAGAGGAACAACATCGAGACGGAGCCCGCACCAGGAGCGGGCTGGCGCTAGGAGGGGTCCGGATGTCTTAACAACAGCTGTTCCCGGATCCCTCCTGTTACAGGCGCAGAGTGGCACACCGTGTGGTTTTAGTCGGTCCGAGTCCGACACACCACCCCGCCGTAAACCCCGGAGGGGTGACGGTCCGAGGGGATTTCCACACGTTAAAAAAAAAAAAAAAAGGGTTTGTTTCAAGTTTTCCTTCTCTCTGCAGTGCTGTTGACCTGCGTAGGTTAATCCCTTAGTCGCCTCTTACGACACCCACAGGATGAATAGGGGTGGTGACACACTATATTCTTAATCCGTCCTTCTTAAACCACACGGACAAAGTCCATTATGTTTTAAAGTAATCAGTCTATTTTATTATACACTACATCTACCCCATACATGTAAATGTGAGATCTGAGAAAGTTCTTAAAAAGCAAAAAAGCTCTTCTGGAAAACGACTTCAAAATTTTCAAACAAAAACCATTCATCTTTATGTTTATATTAAAGACGTGCTATTACTGTAAGTAATGTTTAGTGAAAATATTTCTATTACCATAAGATACAGAAAGCCTCCTTTCGATGGAATATATAAATTCGTGATTGTGAATGTCATTAGAGGCCTATGTTCGGCAGTTGACTTTCAATTCCTCGCTAATGGTAAACATTACTGTTTACACTATAAATTATTTTGCATGCTAATATAATCACGAACTGGAAAAAAGCCTAGCCTTTGAATAATTCTGAAAATATTGTTATTTGTCGTTTGATCTATAATATAACCATATTTAGATAACGAGCATCGAATATGAGCCCTATACATTCGACAAGTGATTAAGAGGCCGCTAGAAGTTTGTCAGACGAAGGTCAATATCAAAAGGCTTATAAGGCTCAAGCTACCGGTAATCAGTTTTGAGAGGGAAATTACGGCTACTCGCTACTGAACTTCGAATATTCACTTTTAAGATAAGCCAAAGTTTGAAACCGCAAAGCCCAAGATTTAAAGTAAAACTTGGCTTAGCATGTATAAACCACACTAATTGTTTAAGTACTTTATTTGTTACTATTTATTTATTTTATTCTTTATGCACAAGTTGTACATTGGCGGACTTAATGCCATAGGCATTTTCTCCCAGTCTACCTTAGGGTGGTGCTGAAATGTGTGGCTAGGTGCACTAGACATTAATAGGAGAAGTAAAAGAAAATGATTGATAAGTTAGGTAGAAGTAATGAGATAAATATACATACATTCATACGTACCAAATACATACACATACACAAATACTTATATAGCAAAATACATACATAAGCCTAAAAATCAATAATATATAAAATTTCAAGGTTGTGATGAATCTGCTAGCGTGTCCAGGATGCGAGCTCTAGCTTTCATCTTGAATGAGAGGCGGCTGGGTGCTATCCTGATTTCGAGAGGGAGAGCATTCCAGAGGAGTACGGATTGGATTAGGAACGAGCAGTGGACACAAGCGGAAGTATGAGTACTATTGTTGACTAAAAGAAAATGCTCAAAGCATTAACATATAATTTAATATAATATAAAAAACTAGCTATTGACCATTATTTCTTATTTCGTATTTTTAAATTGGAAAATAACGATCTTTTATCTAATCATCTTATTTTAGCCCCTTAGGGTGAAATTTCCAAAAAACCTTTCTTAGTGGATGCTTACAACATAAACATCATCAGGTGCCAAAATTTTAAGTTTGCAGCCCCAGCGGCTAAAGGAAACGCTACTACCAAAAAAATGAAGTTTCGTATAAATTTCCAACCCCCACCCCCTCCACCCTTAGGAGTGTAATTTTTTAAAATCCTTTCTTAGTGACACCTACGTTACCTAAGGAACATTTGTGTTAATTTTCATGCTTCTAGACCCAGTGGTTTCAGCTTTACGTTAATCGATCAGTCAGTATGTATATGATAAGTACGTACTTCTTTCAACTTAAACCAATTAAGGCACACACAGTTACGCACTACTATCGGGAAAATACAGAATAAAATATCGTTTCAACCCTTAACAATGAAAAATGAGACGTCGTAAGATTGTATAGCCACATCGTAACGAGGCTCAAATGCTTCAGATTTATATTTATTGCATTCTCGCGGGAACTTCTACGATTATTGTGGTTGTATTAGTTACTCATACAATACTTTAGTTATACTCTAAAGTTTACTAAGTATTTATATCAAAATTAGGTTTCGATACGAAAACTCATTACGGACTATCTATTTTATTTACGCCTTCAGTTTTTGTTTTTACTTTTTATTTTATCCTGAAATTAAACTCAGTACATAAAAAATTTTTAGTAAACCAAATTACTCCTCAACATTTTTTATCAGGTGTAAAAGATCTTGGGCACGACGCTCGAGAGGCATCACGGAACCCTCTCATACAGGTTGATCAAGTGATCTGATCCGCAAGGAGCCAACGCCTGAGTGCTATCACTGCGGTGGCCGGACAGACAGAGTGCCCGGTGCTCCACAGAATGCCCGGCGTAGGTGAAGCAGAGGCGTTGCCTCGTGGCGGCCATCGGAGTGGGAATTTTCTCGCTCGGAAACATGATTGCCGCCATGGTACGGAGCAAGAGTGCGTTGAACTCCGGCGTCTCCTTCTGCGAGCAAGTTTTGCTTGCCAAGGAGATGGCGGATCGGGATATAGGGCATTGTTGTATCAGCGTAAGTAAATAATTGGATACGCTACCTGGAAGGACGTGACAGCCAATTGTGACAGTCCATCGACGTAAGGGCCAAGGACTGCATGTTCACGAACGCGGAGTGACCGACGTGTTGTCTCTGGGTCCAGTAGGTCGTGAACGCGCTCGTTGTATATCTCCATATATGATACCTCCACCTGAACGAGTGAAGTTACATGATTAACACCGTTTAATATAAAGAATAGGAAAAGGCCTTAAAATTATGCTGATATAAAAACACATTCCAAAACAAATGCTATTCCTTTACCAGGTACAAGTCAGGGTACAAACTATGAAAATCCGATAGGGACATTATATTCTGATGGTTTAGACTTTGAATCGGCTGTCAGAGTGTGTTCGATATGCTGATCTGTTATTTTTTTTATGGTACAGGGTAAACGAGCATCCGAGTCACCTGATGAAAAGTGACTGCGCCGTCCATAAACGCCAGCAACTCAGGATTAAATGTCTAGACCTAAAAGATACATCATCTCCCTCTATCAAATAAAAAAACGGCCAGTTTTAAAATCAGAGCAATATTTAGATAAAGATAATAAAGAGAGAGAGAGATAATAAAAAGATAATAGATGAGTTTTGTTTTTTTAATCATTCTGTGACAAAAACAAACGGCAACTAAGAGATTATCAGGTCAATTTGCTGCCACACTAGTTACGTTAATGACTGCTATAAAGAACAACGACAGATGATGGCCCATTAACTCGCAGTATCACAAGAGCACGTTTCTATAAGGTAAACTTTGCACCTCATATGTCGTACTTCTAAATATGAGCGTATGCTATAATACCTTCTAGCATTAACAATATAAAATATGGTTACTGATTTACAATAGATATGAATCTTATTTGGATGTTATTAAGAAAACTATCTCTATTTGACTTTCATAACACTTAAAAATAGCCCACTTTTTATTAATATGTCACAATAAAAAAATGCTTCTATTCTGAAAACTTCATTTGGATCAGTATGTCGTTACGAGCGGAAGCGAAAGCGGGCTTAGGGCAAATTTCATGCCTTATATTTAAGTCGACTCCGTTCATTTTTGTGATCGCACGTTCAACCGTGTGATAAAAAATTACGTAAGCAGATACTGCATTTATGGCGTTAAGTACTCTTACTATATTTTCAAAGCGTAACGTCAGTAATAGATGCGTTAATAGACCATCATCATATTTAAATAGGATTCTTACCTTGTAAGTGAGAGCCGGTGGTGATTGTTGTATTGCAATCCTTTCAAACAAGGAATTACACAACCGTGGAATGATACCGCCTTCATCAGAACCCGAGGAGCCCATCATAGTGTACGACTTCCCGGAACCTAAAACAAAAGAAATAAGATAAATTTGTGACGGTGATGACATTCATTGACAATATTTTAGAAATCGTATCGTCTATGTGATGGGTAGAAGATTTCTGGTGGTTTTGAGTGTTTCCACGGCCCACTGAAGTGTCCTGCAGGCGGTAGTGTCGTGTTCGAGTTGTTGATCCTGACTATATCTGTTAGACTATACAATGGCTAGGGCTTGTATGCCGTCTGTATGGACGGACTGACTTAATACTATGGTCCTTTCTTCAAAAGGCCAACCAAATCCTTATACTGCACTCACATAGTTATCATTAACATTGTACACGGACTTAAAGAAAAGACACCTCTATGGTTTATTTTGGTGTTTCTTCCCAGAGCGAGTCTTAGGAAATTCCGGCGCTTTATAGCTGTAAAGTCCGACTTGTAAAAATATTTACTTGCAGAAATAAATATCATTTCATCATTTCATTATACTATCCGGAATGAAACAGATGAGTTAACACAGTTGGAAATCGCAATTTATTTGTCCCCAATCAATCCGAAACGTTCCATTCGGCAGACGTAAAAACGACTCATTGGTAAACAAACGTGTAAGTGACGCTGACATTTACTTTAAAACCATTAATTGTCATAACGAGAAGAGTAGTTTTTAAGATTTATATATGAATGCGAAATTGTGATAAGGGCAGCTATGAGAATAAATAAACATTCATTTATGTTTGGTAAAAATCCTATTGCTTCTGGACGGCGTAATCTGAGCAATCAATTTCTTTGTGTGATAGAGTCCAGTGAATTTCTCTTCTATGTAATATGAATAAAACCATAACTGATCGGTTAGCGCGGTCTGTAAATGTACTCTATAGTGACAGATTAAGCCAAGTGCATAAAGAAAAACGTGATAAACTTGTGCTACTTATTCAGTTTCTATTAAATGGTACACAAATGCACACAATGCGTCTTAGAAAGCTATTTCAAATTATTATTCTTTACATTCAATTTCTCGTGTGTATTATTCAAGTGTATTAAAAAGAACAGTAGTGAGAATTGCCTTTTTAAATAAAGTAAGAGAATTCACACAAAACTAGAAGTAATTATGTAATTTATTTTATAAAAGTAAAAAGGAAATTAATACAAATTACGTCATATTCGTTATGTTCAAATCTCCAGATAATTTTAATTTAAACGTGCTATAGAAGTTAGGTCAATCAGTTAATGGAAACTAATATACAGCCAAACTACTCGTACTAAACCATTTGTCCGACTTGCTCAAGTAGAAACGGTTCTAGGATAACGTTTGAATTTGTCGTTATCGCAAGTCCAGAAATTCTATGTACAATTAAATTAGTAGATAGCAGAGCTATCTAAACCCAGTATTGTTATCAGGTTAAAATTACTTGTTCGTACCGTTATATTAAACATCAACTAAACTTACTTTAATGAAACCTTTTAACTTTGTTTTACAAGCAAACAATACAAATACGATTAATTTCACTTCAATTATTTAATACTTATTTTTGGTAACCTAACTAGTTAATGTAACCTATTTGAGAAAATTTAAGATTATTATTTTATACATAAGTCCTTTAAATCTGTTTAAAGAAAATTATACGATAGTTTTATCAATTTTTGAAAGACTTCTCAGTACTGGTTTTCTCGACGATTTAACCCCTTTGGATAAACTAGATAAGATCACACACACGCAGTTTTAATCAATGCGCTCTACTGTAGAAAAACGCTAAAATTTTATATGTATTACTATTAATGTATTAGGTATGTATATATAATAAAATAGATACATTTTACATTTAAAGTTCTTTTATGCCATTTAGACCAATTGACCGTTGAACCGTTGATCTATACTAACACTTTAAGTCTTATGATAAATAATATCCCCAATCGGGAGATTAGAACTTTACGTATCGATATCAACTCAGTAGAAAGTTTCTTACAATTAAATAATGAACGTCATATCACAAGTAAATAACTTTTGGTCAAGACACCAACTGTACGTAAACTTGTGTAAAATATTACATATTTATCTTGGCTGACGGTAAATAAAGATATATCAGTCGTAATATCTGTGGATAGCCTTTAAGTAAAGTGCCGCCTCGTTTCAGAGACTTCAAATCTTTAGGGAAGAAAAAGGAACCGAAAGTTGAAACAAGTTTGTAGAAGATAGACATCGTATCGTAAACTGAACGTCTATTTTTAGCCATATTCTTTTATGAAGTTTCCTTTAGTGGTTATAATAAATGTTTAGTTAGGTATAATATCAATATGCGATTGATATAAAATTCTGTTGTGTGATGTCTGTCCAATACAGGTTGGTGCAAATCATACCGAAGAAATTAAGCTTCATAATTGATGCCAGGATTGATTTGTTAGTCCACGCTTGCAATGAATATCTCTTTGTAGTGGAGTGTTTCTATAATCATCAGTGTCTGGGTGTAATTTATCTATAATATGTATGTATTTAGAAATATATTAGTATGTTTATCAGCGGTCTGGTTACCATAGTACAGGCTCTGCCTAGTTTGGGATCAGACAGCCGTGTGTGAGATGTGTGGAACTATTATTATTGTTATTAATTTAAAATATAGGAGACTACTACACAGGTCACCAAAAAAACTAAAGATACTTTGGTTTTAACTAAACTATAGGTACTTTTTAGCTATTTTTTTATTTTCGTGAAAGCAAGGGAAGGACAAAAGAAAATTTTGCTGTGTCGTGTAATACATATTTGTAATGTCACGAAACACACGTAATTTCACGCGCCAGTGTGACATCGTAATATGAAACTCCTACACTGAGTGTCAAAGTTTAACTGTGTTATTTTCTGCACCTTTCCTAATACATTGTCCCTGTCACTCATATATCATACGGGGACGATGAAAACTTTGTAAACTATCTCTGCGTCCTTCTTTGTTCATTAAATGAGGAATGTTCAAGTTTCAGGTAAAAATTTGTCGTATTATGTGTAAAGAAAGAACACACGTTGAAAATTTGTAACTCTTTTATGGTAACCTTACAAGAAAATCAGGAGGGTTCGATCAACTCAATTGAATCGTTTATATAGAAATAGGTACACAAAACCCTTGCGGTGGATGTCATAAATTAACTATTGTAAGGTGCTTTTTCTTAAAGTCTTATACCAATAATCTTGGTACTATACTAGTTATATTAGGACACACGCAACTGCATTGCAAAAGGGAATACTAAATGGTAAATCACAGAGAGTGAACAGGGTAATTAAGCATGCATATTACAGAATGTCTGATTCAGTCACGTCATCCGTAGCTCGAAAATTACTACTGACGAGGTTGTTACGCTGTCTACGTTATGCAATTTCATAAGCACTAGCTGCAATCTAATTAGAAATTCATCTTGTGTAGCTGATTGTTAGATGTTTGCTCTTCCTGAATTAATCAATTCAAAGAAAAATCTTTGAGATTACCCATACAGTTTCTAAAACAGAGTTTTCATTATGGACTAAGTATTTTAGTTTCAAAGCTAAAGTTTCATCCTTAAAAAAATCCTCTGTAACAGTCATTGGAGCAAAGAAAAACGTAAAGAAAACTAGGTTTCTTAAGTTCAATCATTGTGACACTTATTCTTACACGAATACGTACTATGTATGTATGTATGATCATCAGTTTCTATATATCTTCTGTTTTTTTTTTTTAACTACAATATATTCAATACAAAAAAGGACTTTTAACTGTATTTTTTTTCTACCAATCTCTATAAAATCACATATACATATATAAGGTCATAAAGCAATTTAAGGTGGCAATGGAATAATTTACTTATTATATAATACTAGTACATGACTCAATTAAATTAAATACAATTTAGAACGGGTTTTGTTACTTATTTTTGAAGTATTTGGGTGGATCTGGTTATCGCGTACCTATACCTAAAGAATTTGAAAAAAATAATTGAAGATCCATAAAAGCCTGTTTATAATTTGTTCTCTATACGCTCTAAAAACATTGATCAGATTGTAATGAATCTATGGTAGTGGTCTAGAGCACCTCGAGGTTTTACGGCTAAAAATCTATATATAAATGAACTTTTTTAGTTATTTCTTAATATTTTACGTGGCATTATAACGCATGCCAGGAATAACTAATATATAAAGTAATTTATCCTCGGAATAAGAGAAAAATAAAATGTATATCACTGCAAAACATCGCATTCCCTTTGTATTTGTATCAAAACCGACAGACATAAATTACAAACAACAAAAGCACGTAACGCCATGGATTACAGTGTTGAAACCTCTGAAACATGGTCTCAACATAACTCTGCTAAACCTCACAAAAGGAATGTCAACTTACGTCAGAACACATTCGTGTGTTCATTCGTTTTATTGCCTCTCTGGTATTTCTATTTAAAAATATATGGGTCAAACCAAAGTTTATGTCTAGATATTGTTTATAAAAGTTTTTTTTTGTTGAAGCGAACAATAAGGAAGGTATATTTAAGCACAGACAAACAAAACAATAAATAACCAACATTTAGGATTATGCAGACTGACATTGCAGCAGCTGCTAAAGAAGCATAATTGATACCAAAAAAAGATGATATAAGAAACTGTTCGTTTTAGAATGTTTATGTCTATGTAGTATCCATACTTATATTATAAATGTGAAAGTGAGTATATTTGTTTGTTTGTTACGCTTTCACGCCTAAACCGAATAGAAAGCTAAATTATCAGCGAGTTACATGGGATACTTTTTACCACGATGGCGGAGGCGGAGACGCGAGCAAAAGCTAGAATAACATAAAACTATATTTATGGTACATAAATATAAATAGTTGCTAGTAAGGGCTGTTCAAAAGGTACACATGACTAAAGAGAGAGGCGAATGTTATAGATTCATTTTGCTTAAAAAAGTTACTTAAATTAGACATTTGCATAAAAAAACTAACGTTAAAAGTGTATTTTACGAGAAAATAATATAATTGTTTAACCCTTAAGTTATAACATATTTTACTTTAAGAACAGG